CCCCAAAACCCCAAAACCCCAAAACCCCAAAACCCCTTAGCTTAGAATAATTATTGAATTCTTCTAAAACTCATATTTTTCATAACTATTTAAACCTAGTTAGCACTATCTCTCTATTGGTTATCTATGATGATCACATGAGGGTACCTTTAGCTTTGGAGCGGATCATAATTGTCAAATTTAGCAAAAGGATTCTTCGCTCTTGTTCTTCTACTATTCCCAAGGGTAGGAATCGAACTAGCATTCGCTATACCTTGACCTCCAATGCTAAACCTTAGCTATAAAATTTACCTGGGCTTCTCCTTGTTCAGAACTGGGATCGATGAAATAGGCTTTAAAGAAGAATTCACTGGCTTCTTGTCAATCGAAGGAATGTTTTGTGAAGAGTTTTTAGACCTTCTGCTTTCTGAAGAAGGGATGTATGGCTCATCTTTATCTTCCTCTCCTTGAGTGAAATCGTGCTGCTGATAAGGACTGGGCTTGCCTGCTAACATAGGCTTTGTTTTTAATACAGGCTTTTTATACAATTCCTTCTCTTTGACAGGTACCTGATGGTCAGAATACTTCTCTTCAGCTTGATATGAAGTCACAGATCTTTGATCTCCTGATGATTGCTTGTTCTGGCTTGATAATGAAGCGTTCGACAGTTTGCTCTTAATATTCAAAGGTGCTTTATTGTTTGAACTCTGATTATAATCTGAAGATTTATGTGAAACGTCTTCTTTAACATCGGAATAGCTACTTCTAGCATCCTCGGATTGTTTTACGCCTTTCATTTCTGGTAAATTCCTTCGAGAGGAGGTCTTCTGACTGATACTCTTTTGAGAGATGTTCTCAATATTGTGGCTATTCATTTGGTTGATTTCACTCTGATACATTTCCTTCATCTTCTGGTTGGAGTTCTCCCACTTACTTAATAACTCTTGGGTGTTAGGATCGCTATACTTCTTTGCCTTCTCAATTAATTCTCCCATTTTTTCAGTTTTCTGTTTGAGAAGGTTAGCTTTTTCAGTGAGATCTTTGTTGAGTTTCTTATTTTTGAACTCAAAGTTCTTTGTACTCCTTTCTTTCCTTATTAATAAACATATCTGTCTTTTTCTTCTGGGACTCAAAAGCCTGGAGCATTACTTTCTTCTTGCGAAGGATATTGGCATGATTCGTTGTGCTTGATTGAGAATCAGGGTTAGCTGAGTTTTGTGAGGTATCCCTCATCCTTCTCTCTTCTTTCTTGATGTCCTCATCAATGCCATGTTCTTGGGCTTTTTGCATGATCCTTTCAAGTCTTTCCTTGAGTGATTTCATTTGATTATCTTGCGCAACTTTTGAATCAGCAAGCTTCTCCTTTTTAGCTCTCAGTTTAGTTAGCTTCTGCGTGATGACCTCTAGTTCTTTCTGAGCATCATTTACACTTTTAAGATTTCCTGGCTCTCCATAGGGATCTATTATCTTCTCCATCTTACGCTCTCTTCTGAACTGTTGGACTTCGAGGTCCTTCTTCTCTCTTTTGAGTTGCTTGATCCTGGCATCAGCTTGGCTGATATTGGTCTTTAGATCGATCATGTAAGTAGGATTTGAGACTTGTTCAAGTCTGGCCTTTAATCTTTGATGTTCGACCATAAGATTCATCATTTGCTTATCGCTGTTCTTGATTTCTTCATTTCTGACCTTGAGGAGTTGGCTAACTGGCCGATCTTGATCCTTTTTCTTAATATCAATGTCTTTAATGTAGTCAATGAGTTTATTCAGATCTTCGTTCATCTTCTTCAATGCTTTCCCTAGCTTTTTCTCTTGATTATTTTTGTCCATCTTTTGTCGAGAGCTGTGCAGCAGCAGATGCTGATCCTTTCACTCTGTCTAAGATCATTCTAGCCTCAGCAACGGACTTTTCAATAGCCTTGGAGGGATGCTTCTCTGCTATCTTTTGAATATATTTCTCTGCATTTGAAATCAGCTTCACTCTTTCTTCTGAGATAACTCCGTTTTTAGGCTTAATGTCTGTCTTTGAAGCAAGGTCTTGGTTAAGATTTTGTTCTATTGGTTATACTTCTAGAGTACCAGTTATGGATTCTTGTGCATTGTCTTCTGGAGAGAAATTTTCATCTATAGAAAAGTTGTTACACAAAGAACTGAACATTGAAATTCAGATCAAAACTCAGGTAAGAGGTTGACCCAAGAATAGCTTATGATAGAGTTCTAATAAGGAACCTTAAGTGGCCTACCTCTGTAGTCATCTTCAAAGTCTTCTTCATAGTCGCTCATACTGGCTATTTTAATAATTTCAATTTATTTATATATTTACGGGGTTTTGGGGTTTTGGGGTTTTGGGGTTTTGGGGTTTTGGGGTTTTGGGGTTTTGGGGTTTTGGGG